GTTATCGCTCAAAATTTGAAAGAAATTTGGGCATAAAATGTAATTCTTAAATGAGAAATGTTGACCACTTAACTTAAACGGTACCTAAGGTATTGTCTTTTGAGAATCCGCAGGAATACCATATCATTTTATCGTAAATTGCTTTCATGTTGATAGATAACAACACATTTGATAAAATACTTTCTTTAACATTATTGAAACGGTTCTAATGTTATCGTGTTCACATACATACATGTTGATAGATAACAACACATTTGATAAAATACTTTCTCCAACATTATTGAAACGGTTCTAATGTTATTGTGTTCACAGACAAACATATATGCAGATCAAATGGCAAATAATTTTTTTTTTTGACACAGGAAAATGGAGAACGTCGAGAATTGTTAAAATGTCAATTTCGATTTTTCAAACCATCCTCTATATGCTGTATACTAGAAAGTAAAATGCTTAAAATACAATTTGCATAACAAACATCACTAGACATCCCAGTCCACTTTACTACTGCCAACTGTCTTTCACTAACTTAATTTTTCGCGACTTTCCCAGGCCCCTCACAAATCTCAACATAACAAATCACCAATTAATTTATCATTTAAATTATCATGTTTAAAAATATTTTTAAATTTACAATACAAACTATAAAAAAAAGACTAATTCTCAAAATCAGCAATTATTGTTTTAGTACAATATTGAATAGGCATGACATTTTCAACAAAATGATCGTCATATAAATTTAAAACGTTACCTTGTTTGAATCGATTGTTTGAGCCAAATGTTGCGTTGTGTTTTACTCATCGCGTAGATATTTCTCAAGGTTACATATGACTAAAACGTTATCTCTCCTTGGTTCGGTAGACCGATGTGCTTAGCATAGGGGTAAGCTTTTCACACAACAACCTTCAAAATATAGCCATTAAACTGTGAGAGGGTCTGCTATCATTAGCATCAGTGTTAACGTGTGGGTAGTATCGTTAACATCAGTGGTAACTGAGACAGTACATGGTGTTCACTGAGAGTACATGGTGTTCTCTGGTCACTGAGACAGTACATGGTGTTCTCTGGTCACTGAAACAGTACATGGTTTTCTCTGGTCACTGAGACAGTACATGGTGTTCTCTGGTCACTGAGACAGTACATGGTGTTCTCTAGTCTTTGAGACAGTACATGGTGTTCTCTGGTCACTGAGACAGTACATGGTGTTCTTTGGTCACTGAGACAGTACATGGTGTTCTCTGGTCACTGAGACAGTACATGGTGTTCTCTGGTCACTGAGACAGTACATGGTGTTCTCTGGTCACTGAGACAGTACATGGTGTTCTATGGTCACTGAGACAGTACATGGTGTTCTCTGGTCACTGAGACAGTACATGGTGTTCACTGGCCACTGAGACAGTACATGATGTTCTATTCTCACTGAGACTTGCAGCTAGTGGTAAATGTAGCCCTACTTGTTTTATTGCTACAGCTAGTGGTAAAGGCAGACCAAAAAGTTCCACATGGTACATGTTGTGTGGGAGTTGCTTATATCGTTTCATTGTTGTTCAAAATATATCCTGCATACTAATGTTAAGTTCTAAAAGCCGACTCTTATCTGATTCATCCTTATAATTGTAAATTCTCATCCGTGAAGATACGCAGGATTCTAAACGAAAAACGTGCCTGTAGCCCATGCTGTTTCATTACTACATAAAGTGGTAAATGTAGCCCAAATTGTTTTATTGCTACAGAAAGTGGTAAATGTAGTCTATGCTGTTTAGATACTACATAAAGTGGTAAATGTAGCCCAAATCGTTCCACTTCTAAATAAATTGGTAAATGTCGTCTATGCTGTTTCATTACTACATAAAGTGGTAATGTAGCACAACTTGTTTCATCTAATATATAACGTTCAATTATTTTTTTAAAAAAATACTTTTATTTTCTATTAAAAAAATTACAACATATTTACAGTAACAAAATTTTCATACAAGTGATAGGTGAATAATAATAAATCAGTTAGATTAATCATAGTTAAATAAATAGTTAAATTTGGTATATACAACAACCAATGGAAAAACCCAGAGGGGGAATAAAAATAAAGTGTTGAATACAACGAATAACCATAAATTACAAAGCAGTAAGAAAAATGGTTTACTATACAACCAAAGTTCAAAAGATGTCAGATTACATCGGTGGAGTTTTCCTTTTAGAGGTCAAAATTTTGTTAGACGTGTTCTTATGAGAGAGTTCAAGTAAGGTCATTCATGTTATTAAAGGTAGCAAAAAAAAGGGGGGGAGGGTAGGTTATGAAGGGTGAGTATGGGGTCATGGGGTTATTTGTATGTTGTGGAGCAGTGTACCGTACATGTAAGATGATAGTAAAAGTGTAGGATTGGACGCTGTACAATATTTGTCTATAGTCTGTGCAAATAAACAATACACAAAAATAACATCAATTGATAAGAGCTTTTTTTTCTTATTAATGTACATCTTCAATGCTTTGCATTTTAGTAGAGTGATACATATACAAACCACTGATGTATACAGTACAGGGTTAATTAACATAAAATAGAGTGGGTACAAAAGGGGTGTTGTCCTGAGGGATGGGGGTAAGGGGGTGGGGTCATGGGATAATTTTATATTTTTATAGATCAGTGCGCCGTACATGTGAGATAATCGTAAACGTGTAAAGTCATGTCTTTACAATGCTTGTTTATGTGAGCGGGTGAATGGGTGATTTATATCGTATTATTTTTGTGTGCGAATTTTTGCGTGAATGTTCTACAGCGGCTACGGTGTTTCCCCTTCCGGCCAGTCACAGGGTATTTAAAGCCGAGTGAACGCCAGCATTAGTCCTTTTTCACCTTATAACCAGAATATAGTTCTGGTCAGTTTCTTTGTGGGCACTTGGCGCACCTTGTGCGTGAAGGTATTAGTTTTTTTTTATATTTTATTTGTATATGTGCGATTTCAAGGAAAGTGATTGCCCATGTTTCTGGTTTTCTTTCTTTTTCGTCTAAAACAAGATAGTGGGCATTGACAGGTCTGTTACACACGTAGTGTATTCTTTTTGTTGGTTTAAAATGTATTTTGGTATTTTCTAAACCTCTGGCGTGTGTTTTGGACCAAGTGGTTTAGGTCGATATGTTTACTAAACTGGTCTGAATGCGTGTGTGCATTTCACTGGTTTGTCATTTTACTTGATTATTTTAAAGTGTTGTTATTGTGGGTTCCCCCACGATGATTAAGTTGGGCTTAGTTACTAGTAATTTTGTTGTGGTTTTCTTAGACAGTACTTAGTATATTTTAGTTTGCCTCAAGTTTAAGGTTTGATTTAATTTTGGGGAATTTTGGGGCATTAAACCTAGTGTTTTGAACGGACACAAATCTTGAAAATTCATAAAAAATATGTTTGAAGATATGCATTTAAAATTTTTAGCTGAGTGCCCCAAAATATGGAAGAAGATTATGAATTGATTGTTTATAGGGCTTAAAATGTAATATTTTATGAATGGTGGAAAACCTACGAAGGGGTTAATTTTTCAAGATGGTCGCCGTTGTCATGGTTACCAAGATTTTTTCACCAATTTATTTTAGTGGAAATGCATATGCGGATGTATCTTAATAAAGCTGTAAAGAAATAACTGTTTTCCAACGAGTATTAAAAACGTTTTTTTACCGGAGCCTTCCCCTTAAGGTTAGGGGTAAACCACAGTGAGTTTTACAACGGTTGCACTGATCGGACAGTTATTAGTTAAGGCTAGGGCTAGGGAAGGGTAGATAGTGTAGTCATACCCCCGGCAAGGTTTACATTTATAAGCTGTGTAATTAAACAATACACAAAATTTAACAACAATAGGGACATGGGGGTTGTAGGGGTTTGGTCGTGAGGGCGAGAACATCTGAGGGGGAGGGATTGGTGAGACAATTTGAGGCGGTGGTGCGTTTCTAAGGTGTTGTGGTGTTTTGTTTGACTTGTGTGTGTGTGTGTGTGTGTGTTTATGTAATTTGTTCGTCGTGTCGTCTTTTAAAAATTGGATTCAACGTCTGTGCGTGATGTGTCTGTTGTCGAAGTGGGTTCTGAGTCTGTTTGTCCAAATAGTTTGTCTATAGATCGCCACGATCTCTACTTTCTGCTCTAGTTCTCTTCTGCCTTTGTGTTTGGGCAGTTTGTTTAGTGTTATCTCTTCTGTCTTTGTGTTTAGGCAGTTTGTTTAGTGTTATCTCTTCTACCTTTGTGTTTGGGCAGTTTGTTTAGTGTTATCTCTTCTGTCTTTGTTTTTGGGCAGTTTGTTTAGTGTTATCTCTTCTGTCTTTGTATTTAGGCAGTTTGTTTAGTGTTATCTCTTCTGCCTTTGTGTTTGGGCAGTTAGTTTAGTGTTATCTCTTCTGTCTTTGTGTTTAAGCAGTTTGTTTAGTGTTATCTCTTCTGTCTTTGTGTTTGAGCAGTTTGTTTAGTGTTATCGCCACGTCTACGTCAAAGGTCTCGTTTCTGGTCACTATTTGGGCTCTAGGGTCTTTTTCATTGTCTGAATGGCGGGGCAGTCTAGATAGATGTGGGATTCTGATTCTAAATAGTTTTGTCTGCATAATGTGCATTTCCTTTGTGGGTGGTGTCCTATGGGTGGTGAGTTGTAGATTTGTAGATAAGTCTATAGGCAATTTTCTTTGGCTTTGGGTGTGATTGTTTGTAGGTTGAGGTTTCTAAAGGTGTCTGTAGTGTTTATTAGTGCCTAAGTTTTACACCATTTTATTCTATCGTGTATTACCAAGTACAAACAACTGCCACTCTTGTTGATGTGTGTTGTGTTAAAAATAAAGATTGACAGAACATAAACTCAAAATCAAATAAAATCATCTTAACAAAAACATACAAAAACAAAAACAGAACAATTATAAGTCATCAAAACTAAAATGAAACATCATCACGAACAGTTCTGGAAGCTTTATAATCAATGTTTAATTTGAACTTTTATTGATTGACACCAAGTCATATTTCATAGGTCAAACACATATTCCTACTTATCTACTTCACACAAGAACTTATAATTTCTGGTCGGTTCAAAAAACACATCATTCATTTGGTAGCCGTAATCTGAATGAATGGTTAGGTAATCTTCACGACCTTGGTAGTTGTCCGGTCCTCCACCATACCAGTCAAAAAATTTGACCGGTTGCTTACTGGTCTGAAACACCCAATAGCCCTCCTTGTTCACGTCATTTCCAGATAGCAGCAGACCTTCAGTGTTTGCACTCCTGGCCAGGGTCTGCACAAACCTGAATTCAGCTTCGTTGTTTATTTCTGCCAGGTACCAGCCACAAGACAAACATACTTTTTCAGCTTGTTCCGCGTTTAGTAAGTAGAAGCTGGATTGATAATACCGGTGTTCGTTGTAATAATTAGGGGGGTCAAACATTTCACAGACATTATAAGCAACTGTGGAAAAATAATAAAATTATAGTAAAGACTATTAAATAACGGTTATGTTTTAACAGACGTAAAAAAATTACACAGGAGAAGGCCCTAAAACATTACGACATCTGGAACTTACCAAAGCTGGAGAAGGCCATAAAACATTACGACATGTGGAACTTACCAAAGCCGGAGAAGGTCCTAAAACATTACGACATCTGGAACTTACCACAGCCGGAGAAGGTCCTAAAACATTACGACATCTGGAACTTACCAAAGCCGGAGAAGGCGTGAAGCAACAGAGCGGCGAACAGCAACATGTTGGTCGAATCTCTTCAGGAACAGCAGAGAGGGTGTATCATAATGGCTGTGTGGGCTGTGTTTTATAGTATTTCTGAAAATTAAATACAACAGGTATCTGCTGTTTATGTCATTCAGTGTGTAATAAAACTATCATTTCAACACTATTAACAAGGAACAAAACTACATACTAATTTGACAAAGACAAGTGAGAAATTAATTGACTGTCATCTTTATGCTTTATTGGTTCTACATTGCTAAGTGCGTTTTTTTTTCTTTTTACATCTCGGCTATATTTAAAGCATTTTGCAGTTGCTTTCAAAATTAAATTAATTTAGAGACACTCACAAGTATACATTAATTCAGGGACCCTATAAGCATAAATTAATCAGGGACCCCCAAACATACATTAATTCAAAACCCAAAAAGCATACATTAATTCAGGGACCCTATAAGCATACATTAATTCAGGACCCTATAAGCATACATCAATTCAGGGAACCTACACGCATACATTAATTCAGTATCATAAAAGCATACTTTAATTAAGGGATTGTACAAGCATAAATTAATCAGGGACCCCCAAACATGCATTAATTCAAAGCCCTACAAGAATACATTAATTTAGGGACACTATAAGCATCCATTAATTCAGGGACCCTACAAGCACATACATACCATAACAACCACCATCGCTGTATTCTACTTTTAGGCCTACAAAAATGACGTAAATAATCGTTTTCGCTTTTAAGTAGCCGACACTCATAGGTTGATATCGTGTTTACACAAGATTTAAAATAATGCTTTTGCGTGTGTTTAGTTCTTGTCAACATAGAATTTGAAAGCGATACACTGATTTGTAAAGGCAGCTTTTGTGTCATTTTATTACTTTTATTATCAAAACGAAAGTCATAAAAATAAAGGTCTGTTTGCTGGCAACATTGGGTAGAGTAATTCTCGATTTTTATGTCTCCTTCGGTCTGAATAATGAGCAATGCTTTGGTCAGTATAAACGTATAAACGTATTTTATAATATTACGTGAAGGCGTAAAAAAGACTCAAATGTCTAGACATAATTACACACATCAATTACACACATAATTACACACATTAGAAAGATTAAGACACAACCACACAATTTAGAGATATTGGCACAACCACACAGTTAAGAGATATTGGCACAACCGCACAGTTTAGAGATATTGGCACAACCACACAGTTTAGAAATATTGGCACAACAGTATAGTTTAGAGATATTGGCACAACCACACAGTTTAGAAATATTGGCACAACAGTATAGTTTAGAGATATTGGCACAAACACACAGTTTAGATATATTGGCACAACCAAACAGTTTAGAGATATTGGCACAACCAAACAGTTTAGAGATATTGGCACAACCAAACAGTTTAGAGATATTGGCACATCCGCACAGTTTAGAGATATTGGCACAACCACAAGGTTTAGATAAATTTGCACAATCACATAGTTTAGAGATAGTTTAGACAGTTTAGACACACCCACACACAGTGATATGTTTTAGACACAACCACCACAAATCACTAATAAAGAAAATGGCCCGTTGACTCCGTTCATCAGTCTAGTTTCGTCTGAGTCTGCTTATATAGTCTTAGTTAAGAACTAATTACCAGGCAGCAATTGTTGAATAAGTTTCTTCTCCTTGATGGAATGCTGTCCCCAGTTAACGAACCGGGACTTTTGTAGTCAGCAATCATTATTTATTTACTTCAAAAAACATACCTTCGTAGAAATATTTAATTATTATGAAATAAAACATCTGTTGATCTATCGAATATTCATTACCTTACTGAACATAATTTCTTGTCGTACTACAGAATACCTTGTCCCACCAATCACTTACGTTCCATCCCTATGAAACTTGGAGACCTACAGAAAATTTACAATCAGTCTGTTGTAGAGAATCGAAATTTTAATAATACATATCATACACATTGGTATCCTACTAAACATCAACTAGTTTGTAAAGCCTTCACAGTGTGGAGTTTTAAAAGGTCACGTGTTTTACAATAACGGACGATATACAGAGTAATCAAGATCAATAAATTCTTATGGGGTTTATTCAGAGTAATCAGCGAAAAATACGATTTCCAATTACCTGAAATGAACTAAAAATTTGACTTAACCCGGGTAATAAAATCTTATACCCATGTATGTAAATCGTCCACCTATCTAAAATGGTATTTTAAAAACCTAAATATACAGAAATCCATTTATCGTTTTCCCACGAAAATAGAGCAAAATATCACTTTCAGTTACCGGTTATCGCTCAAAATTTGAAAGAAATTTGGGCATAAAATGTAATTCTTAAATGAGAAATGTTGACCACTTAACTTAAACGGTACCTAAGGTATTGTCTTTTGAGAATCCGCAGGAATACCATATCATTTTATCGTAAATTGCTTTCATGTTGATAGATAACAACACATTTGATAAAATACTTTCTCCAACATTATTGAAACGGTTCTAATGTTATCGTGTTCACATACATACATGTTGATAGATAACAACACATTTGATAAAATACTTTCTCCAACATTAATGAAACGGTTCTAATGTTATTGTGTTCACAGACAAACATATATGCAGATCAAATGGCAAATAATTTTTTTTTTTGACACAGGAAAATGGAGAACGTCGAGAATTGTTAAAATGTCAATTTCGATTTTTCAAACCATCCTCTATATGCTGTATACTAGAAAGTAAAATGCTTAAAATACAATTTGCATAACAAACATCACTAGACATCCCAGTCCACTTTACTACTGCCAACTGTCTTTCACTAACTTAATTTTTCGCGACTTTCCCAGGCCCCTCACAAATCTCAACATAACAAATCACCAATTAATTTATCATTTAAATTATCATGTTTAAAAATATTTTTAAATTTACAATACAAACTATAAAAAAAAGACTAATTCTCAAAATCAGCAATTATTGTTTTAGTACAATATTGAATAGGCATGACATTTTCAACAAAATGATCGTCATATAAATTTAAAACGTTACCTTGTTTGAATCGATTGTTTGAGCCAAATGTTGCGTTGTGTTTTACTCATCGCGTAGATATTTCTCAAGGTTACATATGACTAAAACGTTATCTCTCCTTGGTTCGGTAGACCGATGTGCTTAGCATAGGGGTAAGCTTTTCACACAACAACCTTCAAAACATAGCCATTAAACTGTGAGACGGTCTTCTATCTTTAGCATCAGAGTTAACGTGTGGGTAGTATCGTTAACATCAGTGCAGAGGCGTATCCAGGTTTTCATTGTAGGGGGAGAGAAAAGAGCAAAAAAAGGCGCCGAATTTTTAACACGTTCTATATACGTGTATTATATATATATATATATATATATATATATATATATATATATATATATATATATAATTACTAGCTGTATGTCATTACTTCGCTATGATGTAAAATAAATTGAAAGTAGCACTCTGAAGAAATAAGAAAAAACACACAATGCAGGCCGACTAAACAAAAATTGTATCAATCTAAACAAAATATACATATATATGCACACACTACAACCAAAAACAATGAACGTTACACAATCTGTTTTGCAATTCTTGTAAAAAAAATTCTTACATAATAATTCCTGGGCTGGGAAATTATTTAAGACAAGTGTAATAGGGGAAATAATCACTCTCTTAATATAATTATGTATATATCTACACAGTTAATTATAAATGTCAAAACAAATAAATAATTACTTTAGAATATAATGAAATTGTTTAACACTATTCGAGATTACAAAATGTTTGTGTCTATAATCAGTATTTAATATATCATCATCATAAATGCTAAAGTATCACAGCATAATGAAAATTTAAAAAATCAGAGTTCGTATAAAACCACGCTTTTCGATATAATAAAAAAACATTTGGAATAACAGCCTACATTTAACTAAATATTGGTCTTTTAGTTCAGATCATATATTTTTATTAACTACTGCTTCTTTGTATTCTTTAAAGATCATTTTTTAACATAGTGATAGATATGGGTTAGATCACTGTATTTATCACACACGTTTTTACTGGTAATTGCAAAAACAATATTCACAGAGTTTTACGTTTAAAAAGCTAATTTTCTGGCGGCATGGTACTTTGGTACATCATTATGCGTTTTTCTACATGTACTTAACAGATCAGTTCGGAGTGGGTTGGGGGGGGGGGGGTTCAACTTCATTCACCACTGTCCTGTCACTTTAGGTCAATTATCCAACCCAGTGCATACCTAGGTGTGACATTAATGTCGCTCTACACAATTGTGGTGGTGAGGTGTGTGTGGGGGGGGGGGGAGAGAGAGATAACCAACTCAGAGTTAACATAGCGTCAGTTTTTAGATGACTGTTCTAAACATACATATATATTACACAAATATATATTACACAAATGTATATTACAGAAATAGATTTAAATAAGTAGCAGTGGTATTATGACAATATTTTTTTCACAGAGCGGTCCATGGGGGAGGGGAGTTGTAACTGGTACATATAATTTGTAATCGTAATCACTTTCGCCCAAATTGTAAGAATATTACTACTTCATCGTGATGACGTTGTTGTTGACCTTGTCAAAATTTCCCCACCACTACGCAGTTTGCTCATAAGTAAATGTAAATAGAGGTGCCACATCAGTTGTATTTGTCTCTGTATTGTACATTTTAAAAAAAAATTCAAACTGTATATATAAAGTAATTATGTGTGAAGTTTTATGTATAACATTTTCTAATTCAATTATTCGTAAGCAAATACATTATACAGTTGCCTTGAACTTAACACCCCTCTTGCCAAGTGGTACTACCCGTAGAGGTTTTTCAAACATTGCAATGCATCGTAATGGTTATTTTTAGAATGGCAAACTGATGCAGTTGTTAATACGTGTTGAAAACGTAGACACTGCTAGACTAGTACAATAATGCTTAATTGCTGAATGAAAAGAAATCTTGTGATTTACATAGATGTGCCGACC